AAGGCAGGGGGGCAGTGGACCACTATCACTCACTGCCCAACGAAGACAGTGATAGATCAGTCGTGAAGCAATGCGGGACGCCGCATTGTGTACCTGCATCAATTGTTTTAATTCTCCTGAAAAGTGCTAATGCGTGCAACCACTTGTTAAAACACCTTCAAATCTGGCGGACTCATTCACCATTCGGTTCCAGCGCCTTTCCTTTTTACCAAGTCAAGCCCCAGTGAGTGTAAAGTGGAACTTCATTCACTGACTCAGCTCTTGCGAGCATCTCTCTAAGTGTGTAATAACTGCAAGAAAGCTGGGTCTCACCTGACAAGTAGGTCTCCAAGAACCCTTCGCACGAAGATGCCAACGTCCGAATCAAGCTCACCTTGGATGCACGTTCGCCAACTCTGCCTGTCGCTCGTACTCTACCTCCATGATCATCAACCGTTGGATTTGGTAGTCATATCATCCCAAAATGACTGTTGCCTGGATTCTAGGCACAGTAGATCTAGGTAGTATGAATGCTGCGCAGCGATGGCCGGTACAACTCAGTTTCTCGTCGTCACAGCGGACCTGCAGTGGCTGCGGTGCCCTCCAAAACCCACCGAGAGACCGCTGGCTTTCAGCAGCTCCAAGGCCGACTCGCACTGTTCAACGCTCCGACGTAAGCCTTGAAGTCCCACAAAGTTCTCAAGCACTGACTCATCCAACACAAGTGCTCAACCTAATATATAGCAATGGTCTCCAACCTAATAGCGATGGCCTCCAACCCAATAGCGATGGCCTCCATCTACAAGCATCCTGTTGAAAAGAATGCAGGATCATGTAAGTCCAGAAGTCGGGCTCTCGCCGGTCGTGCTGGTGAAGGATTGACTGAGCCTTGGCCACTGCGAGCAGCAGCCCTGCGTGCCATCAGCGCTGCACGCTGTGGTGCCGCCAATCTGGTGCTGAGATGTGGGTTACAGTTGAGCCTACTTGACCTTGGGTCATGACAATCCTGTATTGTTTTGTATTATGTTGAGATCACTTGTGAATCCTTCGTCGTGGCACCCATGAAAAGAAAGCCCAACCCCGACAAGAAGCTGTTGTAAACCTTCTGAACGTCTCATCGGACGCTAAGGAAATTCTGCATCCGAATGCTAATTCGGGCATCAAATGCAAAGGCCGCAGTCCTGAGATCCTCATTGAGCTCTCCCTGTGCCTTCTCAAACCATTCCTGAGAGGCCAATGCTGTGCACATTCCACAAATCGTCTTTTAGATTCTTTTAGCGATTGTTTCCTTTAGGCCTCTAGGCAAAGCGCGTCCAAGCTGCCAAAGCTGTTTCAGCTAAAGAATCCTCCAAGTAGGTATCTCCAATCCTTGGTGGCTATAGCTGCGGGGGATTGTAGTACAAAGTGCAACTGTCACCCATGCCGCGTCGGCAAATCGGAAAGGAGCAACCCTTAAAGGTCAATAATGACCTTTCACACATTCGGAATTACCCTGCTGTTCTCACATCGTCTGTGGGCAGCAAAGCGGCCTCATTAGAAGCTCGACACGTTGGGTTGAGTCTGCGAGCAGGCCTGCATCGAAGCAGGTCACCACATAAACAAGATGTTTTTCTCAAACAAATGCCATCACATGCAACAGTTCATCTCAGGCAGTCCCTGGTTCTGCAACTTACTCCCTCTTTGAAGAGGAACTCGGAACTCACCGCTCCCTTGTCCACTACTTGAGACGAAAGTGTGACCTACTCTCCGTATTTGGTCTTCTCTGAGCTTGTGCAAACGCTTCAACAAGTCAAGCGTGGATCTGTTTGCTTATGTTCCACCCGAAAAGGGGACCTCCCGAAAGCACTGAAGAAGCAACCCTTTAACTACAAAGTCTAGTTTCCTGACTTTGTTTTGTGCGTTAGAGAGCCCCAGCTGCACATGCTTCATCCGTGCTCGGTGGCATTTGGTGCCTAAAGCAGCCTCGAAGCACTCCCGGGCCAAACGTGGCTCGCGGCAGCTGCAACCCGCCGCCAGCAGTTCTGACACCTGGACGTTCTTGAAAGCTTTGACCCTTTTCGGGGTGGGTCAATTCGCTTTCTCCAGCTTCGAACGACTGCTTCGATAGCGGAGATGCGTTCGAACGACTGCTAAAAACTTCATACGAAGATATACGAAGTGATACATGTTTGACCCCTCAGGTCCAGGTTCCGAGTTGAGCGCGGAGCTGTTTTCCATTTCGCCACGAGGCCCAGGCCGGGGCCAAGGGCAGCGAAGTCGGGAAGAGTCTGCCATCGATCTTAAGAGGCTATTGCGCATCTGCCATGGTTTGCAGACTGCATGCCATCATTCATTGTCAAGAAAGCACGGTGAACAAAGCAAAACCTTCAAAATAAGAAAATGGTAGGCATCGTGTCAAACAATCCAACTGGTATCAGGCAACCATTTTTACGTTTTGAACTATAATATATGCTGTACTGGTCAGTTCACAGGGCACAATGGACTGTAGGCGCATCTAGCCAGTTTTCAGATGATATCAGCATTCGGCGTCACTTGCCAGCACCAAAGACCGGCTCAAGGGTGTAGGTCTCAACCTCAATTTTGCTCACCCCTTCAATCTGATGCCATAGGCGAACTAGCTCCTGCCATGCCGAATGCGAGGGACAATCGACAAATTTCTTGACCGACGGGAGTTTAGTGCGTGGGATCTCAAGCGCTCCTCTTCAGGATAGAACTGCATCCCAGACCAGTCCTCAAAGGCATCCAGGCCAAGCTTACCTTGGAAGCTGGAAAAATCTTGAACTCTCAGGAAAAGACTTCGGCGATTGACCAGCAAATCCCATCATGTGGCCCTTCGCACTTCACATCCATTCACTCTTCGCCCTGTGTCCAACTGGTTGGGCGATGCGACCGCGTGAGCGCGCCGAAACAGCGAGCCGCTGATGACCTTGAACTCGTGTTTGCATCCACAAACGGCGCGCTGCACTGACAGGACTCCTTGTACTCTTCTGAGCGCTGGAAGGGCCACTTCCTGTCAATGTCGAGAGCTGTTCCCATGCGCTGGCACATGGAAAAGTACATGATACATGCAGTTGCATGTTGCAAGTGTGTGAATGCTGCTTTGCCTCAAAACATGATTGAATCAATACATTGGAATTGGCAGCATGGGTTGATTTAACTTGCTGAACGCTTAAGATCTCACAACAATCCCAAACAGACTCCTCCAAAACGCGCTGGAGCTCTGTTAGTGATCGTTTGTCATCATCCTCACTCCAAACACACCGCCATTCTCTTGCGAAGGTGTTGTAGTGGATCTCTTTGATCAAATAGCCCGAGTTCCTGCCACATCACAGGCTATTCCCAGAAAGCTTCAGGAGAAAAAGGCCCCTGCGCTTAAACACTACAACTCAAACCGGCGGCCCCTTCCTAACATATATACAAAAGCCGTTCTTCGATCACTCACCCACATTTCAAGCTAGTGATTGGCCACTGGCCATTGGCATCCTGCAGGCTTTCTTCCACAGCTCCGACTCGTAAAGTCTCAGCTGTGACATCTGCGCCGATGATAGGGTGGCGGGATCCTCCACCATGGGCTTGTCCTGCCCGGTCAACACCGCACCGCGCAAAAATTGAGAGAGGTGGAGAGGTAAGGGAGAGTATCAATGTGTGGGTGACAAGGAGGAAAGGTATGGAAAGGCATGCCCTCGAAATGTGTGTGTGTGTGTAGTCTATTGTGGTCCAACACCCCAAAGACCCTTGGCGTAATTTGCATCCGTTCACATGGGATGACATCTACATTGTTTGCGTCAGCTCAGGTTGCCCAGCAAGCCAGAAGCCACCTGCCTCTGACTTGACGATCGCCATGGTTCAATTCTGCCCTACAATGAGCCACTGGGTGTGCTGCGAGGCGCGCAATGTTTCGAAGCAGTCTGGGCCAAATGTTCCATGCCAGTGTGGAAAGCTTCACTATCTCAGTCTCAGGTGGTGCAGGATTTCCCCCATCAGCTACCTGCAGATTTCCGTGCAATGCAAATCAAATCACCATGAACAAAAGAGATTTCGTGCAGCAACGCGCAGAACCACGCCTCGTCGCTTGTTCTGCATCGTCGCAGGCCGCAGGGTTGACGGCGCCATAAAGGCACCTCTCTTTTCGTACTCAGTTGTGATGCCACGGACTTGATCAGATTGTCCCATTTCTGTGGGGGGCTCTGCTCTCAGGCTGCGGTATCATTGCGTCGCTAAAGGAACACGCAGTGCGCAGGAGTTCACGCGCCTGCACCCAGCATTGCATCCATGCACCCTGGCACTGGAGCATGCTACTTTGTGCTATACACAGTATTTTGCCTTCTCACCCAAATACAATGAGAATAATGAATGTGTTTGCTCCAAGCGGCCAGAAGCAGCAGGTGGATGACGGATGGACGCGCCATGGGGCTCCATGAAAAAAGTAATCAGAATAGATTGCTCTGCTCTAAGTTCGCACATATGGCTGATTCAAACTCCGCTCCAAATCCTCGTTTACTTGATATGTTATGACGTTTCTCTCAAAAACCTGAATCACAAGGACTTCGAGCTCTCAAGCGAAGAAGGTCAATTTCCGAGCGCTCAAACGGCGCAAGTGGCGCAACACCCTGCCCGATTCGGCGAGCTACTATCTATATACAGCTGTGAGCCGTAAGGTCCGCAAGACCGTTCGAGTGCATGGGCACAGTCTATGGGTGTGTGTACAGAAAGCCGGCATGCCAGCTGTCAGAATAGACTCCGACTCGTTGGTTCAGTTTCGTGAGTTTCATCCCAAATGCGACCCCTCAAACGGTTTATCAGGGCGACCATGTCATACTTGCTGCTAGGGCAAAGGCTTGATTCTACACCTTCACCTATATGACTTGCTTGAGTTGCAGTATTTTCCAAGGTCAAGCCCAATCAGAAAGCACAATACCATGGGGAAACTCATGCAAAGCACTGTAAACCACCAAGGTCCAAAGGCATCAAGCTGCTGGGGCCTCCCATTCTCGTTTGAAGCTGAAACTGGGACCTCCGGCTTCTGCGGCGGCTTCTGCCACCTGAAGGCCGAAGCCGAACGGCTCCGGACTCGCAGCGCGAGCGGAACGGTGCCGGCCACCGAGCGGAAGTTGGGCACCCGACGTGGAGGGCGGCGTCCCTGCAAGCTCCAAGGGCTTCGGGGGGGAGTTGAAGTCCACCTGAGCCGTGTGGCTCTTGGCCCTGGTAAAGTCGACGTGAAGGGGCTGGCGCACCCAAGAATGCCAATCTTTGCTAGGGAATGGCATGAGTATGGCAGGAGTCATCTATCATCTGTCATCAGATCCACAATTTGGCAAGCTGAGCCCTACAAAACAAGAGAGAGAGAGAGAGAGAGCATCAAAGAACTCTACTGGCTGAGCCACGGTGAGCTCTCGCCCACCGAGGATGTCCTCGGCAGCCCAAAGCACCACCTGAGGGGCATTTGACGCAACAGCTATGACATGCGTTGCACCGGCAAGATCATCATGGAACGGGGATGGATCATGTTAACTGTTTCATGTAACCAGGAATAGGGGAAACCATGGGAAACCGGGGGAATCTCATTTGCAACTTCTTTATGAGCGTGGTGGCGCATTCACCACACGGAGTGCCATCCACATGGAGTAGCCATCCATTTCAGGCCCCTTTCCAAGGCCCAGACAATTTGTGCAATTTTTGGCAAAGGTTTTTTGACAAAGGGTATTAACACTTGAAAGGAGGGCCAGTACCAGGACTGAAACAAGAAAGCAACAAACACTTGACATGGAGCAGTGCGTATTCTACCTGAATCTATTTCATTTTTACAGACCCTTGCTACAACATAGAGGACAAATAACATAGACCGCAATATTTGTCTCAAACAAATTCGAACACGTATGTTTTCTCCAGAGTATTCTGAACCAACTGAGGCAATCTTGTGTCCAGTCGCTATTGCAAATGAATTGTTCTCCGAATTGTGGCCATACTTTATACAAGGGCATTTCAGCCAAGACATGTCGAGACTGCAAGTTTGAGCTTCAGAAAACGATCTCGGCTGTAATGGATGCCCCTCCGGCATCGATTGCTACATTATGAATAAGTACTGGGTATATACTGCATATGTCCTGGGATGTCGATGTGCGAACTCTGCAAACCCTGCAAAACGATACCTGAGGCTGTGCGAAACACGTGCGAATGCATGTACAGCAACAGTATGCAGGGCATCCTCGCTTTGAATGAATCTACCCTAGAATCCTGCAATTTAAACAACAACTCAGACAGCGCCAGCATGTGCAAACAGAAGATGTCAAAAGCCTCCGCTGTTTTCAAGAGCTGAATTCAACTCCGAGATACCTTATGCAAATCTTAATGCTTGATCAACGTCTCATTCTTCATGGCTGGACGAGGCTGGGTATCTGACCTCATCATCACGCCTATAGCTCCAATGCCTGAGCGAAGGGAAAAAACAACAGCTGAAGCTGCTTGGACCTTCAGAGCTTGTTGGAGCAACCTGGGCTGATGAGGTCCTGACAGGTTCGGCGTTTGTGCTGTGCCATAGACCTGGCATGGGGAACAGTTGGTAGAGTTATTAGTTGCCATGCGGGGAGAATTTGCAAGAGGAAGCAACCAAGCACATAGAGACATAGAAGGGCCAAACCCCGCCTCTCTCTCTCTCTCTGCCCCTCACTCCCCCTTCCCTTCAGGTGGAGTGAGTTGAGGTAAACAGCACGGGTTGAGTGGAGCTACTTTTGTCGGCACAACCAGCTCCAAATGCCCTTCTCCATGGGAGAGAGGCGTTGGATCATGATGCCCAACGACCCGCGCTTTGAGCGTTTGCTCAAGTGGCTCCGGTCCGTGCGTCAGCCCTCAGCTGCCTCCTGAATTGGAAGCAAATGATATGTCGCTAGTAGCGTCCTTGCTCCTAGTAGCGATGCCAGGAGCCCCTAGTAGCGTCCTTGCTCCTAAGGCCTTCTGAGTGGATTATACATTTCCAGACTTGCCAGTCCTTCCGGAGGCTCTCCAAAGAGTCGGGCTCCACCGGGTATGTGGGCAGCTCGGGCCACCACACACCATTGCCATCGTAGGGATTGTGATAGAACCAACCTATGCAGCGTCCGGGTCTCCATTCATCCGTGTGATTTCCAGTGTTTCCTGCTGAGTCTGCTTCAGAATTGCGAACAAAAACTGTTTAACATACCAAAGACACGCACACATAATCACAAATATATATATATATACAGTATGTGTGTGATTGAATATTGTTGTAGATTTGCTCATCATTGATTCCATACAGTAGAGCTGTGCATGTTCTCCTGGCTAAATTGTTGAACAATGTCTCTCAAAGTGTCAACACATCTGTTAGTTCAAAACAGGGGTGGGACTCAGATTAACATTAATTTTACGGGTTCCGCTGCATGTCAGGCATGCAGGTGAGCCTGTTGAAGGATGTTCAGACACTAACCTATGGCGTCGTGCATATTATATTGGCCTTCTAAGGTTCAATGATCCCAAAAACTTGCGTCATCTGCTTACCCTAAGAATCCGTGAGGGTCCAGACCCCTGCTATGGAGGGTCCATGGATTGCCTGCCTGTGAAAAACATTTCTTTCTGCTGTGTGGCCTCCATCCTCCGCCTGAAAAAGTCGCCAGCCCGCACAAACAGCAGCATCTTGCGAAGGTTGTTCCCATTGTGTTGTGCCTGTCGTCGTGCAATGCCTCTGGGAACAACAAAACAACATACAGGAAGTCCGGAAGACAGGTTACCTTTTTATATGTCTACTGTATATTATATATATATATATGTGTGTGTGGAAATATTGGAAATATATGCACAAGTATAACTTGTATATATATATATATACACAACTATACTGCACAACTATATATATATATATACAATTATATATATATATATCTGTGCAGGGCGACCCCTTGCTACTCCAGAAATGGATCGCTTGCGGCTCGGAGGGGTGTGACTCGCATCCGCGGGAAGGGCAACAGGTGGGTCACCAAAGACAGGGTCGAAGGTCATGGGATGTCATGGGAATTCTTCATCGCTTCAGAACACGCACAGGCCAGCCTGACACCAGATTATGGTAGTAGACCATGCCATCATCAGTGGCAAGAGCCTTGACAAGAGCTTACACATACAGTATGTGGCAAGACCTGCCGCAACTCTCTGGTCCGATCCTCGCCTCCCAGCCATGCGGAACGCCATGTTGCTCTGAAGAAAGTTGGCTGATCTCCTTGAAACACGCTGAGATGCTCCACCGTGATCTGGATTCCATGATGCACAGTGCTGCATGGTGTGACACTCCGTGAAAACGTCGCACGGTGCGACAATCGTTGCAAACACCACACGGTGGCCGTGGCCACACCTCCTCCCCCATCAAAGAGAGCTCGTAAAGATCGGGATCTGCTCTCTGAAGCTGCTGAAGGCTCTGGCTGATGCGCTCCCGAGCTGCCTGCTTTCTTCCAGAATCCCCATGCTCGGCTTCAATATGAAATATGTGTCAACTTTACACAGAATGCAATCATCAGAAAGATGTACTAAATAGAGGTTTTTTTCAGGAGAATCTGGCTATATCTGGCTGGACTCAGGGCGACTTCATTCCTATCACCAATCTGGGCAGAAGATCAATGCACCCGCTCTCAGCACAGGAGACAAATTGCCTCAAGCTGTGGAAGCACACCGCCAGCAAGCTCCTGAAGGCATGTGAATCGAAGCTCCATTGGGGATTGAAAGGTCGTAGTCTCAGTAAATTGTCTGATCTCGGTGACAGTCAAGGCCGCCCTCCTCCAGTTTCTATGATGAACTCTTCGTGTTCAACCCCTCGCACCGGAACAATTGGCCAAAAACGTCTTAGAAAAAGATCTGATCACAGCAACTCAAGAATATGTCTCTGTTCAGCGTGTTTCAGCATGTTTCACGTTCCACCCCAACCCCAGGGGGATGTTGTTTCAGACCAGTGATACGGTCCTCGGGTTTGGAGTGGCGGCGGTGGGTCTCTGGTTTACATGTCCTCACCAACATGGACCCTGGCAGCCAGGCATGGCCACGAAAGTCACGAAAGAGAAAGCATGAGAAATCAATGTCCTCTTTCGTAAGAGGTCGGACCGTCCATTTACATGTGTGGAGTAGCACGAGGCTACTAGTTACTAGGGTGGAGGCCATCGCTATTAGGTTGGAGGCCATTACTACTAGTAGCAAGGACGCCACTAGTAGTTCGTCGGGTCGTTGTCCATCTCCTTGACCTTTGCTTGGTCACCTTGCGGATCCCAGAAGCTCGTTGCCTACGCGATCCATCAGTGACCCAGTGTTCCGGGTCATAAGCATCATAGTAAAAAAGGATGAACAAAAGATTGGGACCACCAGTGATCAACAGTGTTACCAAGTTAAGTGTTAAGTATATAGTCTATAGTGAATGTCTAATTTGTGTGCATACGACACTGGCCTCAAAAAGCCTGGTCGGTTGGAGGCAGTTTGAAGATAAGTAATTGGTTCCAAGAGGTCTCATTGGCAAGATGAGAGCATTCTTCTGGCTGAAGATGGAGCTGCTGGAATATGATCAACAGAATTCTGGAGTTAGTGATCTCAAGAAAGAAAGTGCATGGATGCCAGCTGGCTCCGAGTTGAACTAGGGCCCAACTGACCACCTCTTGAAGTCTACGCATGCTTAATTAATCTATATATAAATGTACAATCAATTTTACACCGCTTTTTCTGCAATTGAAATCTATTCTTGTCGTTTCATTTTCCAAACCTATTTGGCCACACTGCCTCTTTCCAGGCCGTCTCGACCGAGCTCAACGCGGCACGGAGCTCTCTCATGTCCTGGCGCCTGCGATGCAGCTCCGTCGCAGTGAAAACATCAGACCGGGGAAACACAGGGGCAGATGATCAACATTGACGTTTCCCTAGCACCTGGTGTTCTACTAGTCCAGGATTAGGAACAGATTGTTGCCTGCTGCATGTGCGGAAGTTCAACAAACGAAGTTTGGCTGACTCCCAACTTGACAAAAACGCCTTTGTCTCATGGAAGTCGATTTGAATTCTATGACTGCAAACTCGTGACAACGCGTGTCAAACTGTCCTAGGTGCAGCTGCGATGGAGTACACATCTTCCAGTTCGGGCGACAAGCCGCGAGCCATGAGGTCGGCACGAGCACGCGCCACGTCCAACAAACTCCTGGGCCGTGCACGTCCAACAAACTCCTGCCTGCAGATCAGTCCCTGGCCGCTACACCTTTTCCGATGTTCCATTGTTTTGGGTTCAAACATGTTCGAAGCACCTCACCTTCGGAAGCACTGTAGCGTCCAAGCATCGCCACGCTGGTCGAAATCTTCGTGCCCACTTGATCCAGGAGCTGCAGCTGGAGACGCGAGTGCTGTTGCAAGGCCTTGTAGACCTCGAGGAAACAAGGGTGTGATACTGAAGCGATGGCTACTTCGATGGCTGGACTGAGTCGATTCAACAGCGATGTTCAACATCCAAGTGATGCCTTGTCTTAGACAGCATGGTTTCTCGAGTGTGCCACGCCTTACAAATCTTATCAAACCTTACAACAGCAGCTTACATCCCGCTGTTTCTCACAAAAGCCCGTATTCCAGTCTCACCTGCTCATCTAGCTTCTGCCGCTGCTGCTGCAACTCATGTCGTGTCTGGATCAGGCCCTCATCGCCAGCCTAGGAGGGCAACCAAGATCATGCCCCCCAACTGCAGGCTAATCCACCCAATCCACTCTCAAGCTCAGGAACTGCTTGGAATTGTTGCACCAGTGTTTTTAAGCGTGCCGTTGTGCGCCGCAAAGCGTTCTGAAGCTCACCTCACCGGACGCGGAGCTGAGTTCAAGCGTGATCTGCTCCCCGTCTGAGCGGAGGGTGGGACGTGGTATGACATCACGCCACGCGGGGAACGTTCCCAGCTCCACTCTCCCTCTCTCTCTCTATTGTACCTTGGGCACCTTAGGTGTATCATTGTCATAGCATCTCTCATAGCCAGTAACAGTGGATTTGATATGACTTGGACTTGAATATCTCCTCCCAATTGACCGGCTGTCACTGTAGTCACCGCCCTACTTGTTCCATCGACAGCAAAAGTAGAAGCGAAAACGGCCATCCTTGCTCCCGCCTTCTGTCATGGTGGCTGCCTTGGGCGCCAGCACCTTGGGAAGCAATCATTGTTGGGGGGACAGGCATGAGGTCCTGCGTGAGGTCCACTTGCCTTGTAGAACTTCACGGGGTGCAAGTCCTACACATGTGTTCGAGGCTTCTTGTGTGATGACCAGCCCCAAAAAGAACACAAAGCTCTACGTAGTAGCAGCCCTTGACAAACACCTGGCCAAACAGTTGAAAACTTAAAACTGGCACTCTGCGTGTGGGCCTCTTCCGCCCCAGCTTTGTTGTTCGAAGAAATATCATCTGCGGAATCTATACATGACTCTCGTGCTGCGTGTCCTGAAGTTCTCTCTCCAACTCCTCAGTCTTCTGGCGATGCTGTGCCGTCCATTCCTCGCGCTGCTGCAGCACGGCCATGCGTCGCTGTCGCTCCTGTCGGAGAG